CGACGACGACGACCACTACGACTGCTGCTATTTCTGCTAAGGGTATAGCTATTACTTCTTCCACCGCGACGACGCCGCTGTCGCTACCACTGCAGCTACTGCGACATCTACCTACCACCACCACCACCACCACCACCGCCAAAACCGCCACTGAGACTTCGAGTGCGATCGTTTGGGCCAGATCTAAAACTGGAAGTGAATACCAGTATTGGCAGAGAGAGTCACGATCCTTTGGCCGGGGCGAGCCTCTAGGACTTTTAGGCATTAGGCTGTATGCGAGCACAGGTTTAGCCATTACATCCATTTTGTCAAGGCTGGGGATGGAGGCAGGTGTTGCCAGCTGCGGAATGTTCGGCATTTTCATGCATTGCACGAAGTGCTAACAATAACAACCCCATGTTTGCAGGAGGCAGGGTCTTATCTGATGCCCGTCGAGCTGTGGCTCGAGAGTGGAACCAGGGACCGAGCGGGCTTGGAGCCCTCGGGCCTTGGGGACACTAAGGATAAGATCCGTTTCTCGAGCCATGGCTTCTGATCTTCCCACCCCTGCCCAGCTTGCTGCCATCACCACGATTGTGCAGGCCACCACTTGGGTTGGCCTTGAGGCAGAAGCTTGGGCGGCGGTGGATACGGCTTTGGGCAATGTTCCCAGTCTTCGGATCTTGGGGAACATCCCAGCCGACGCGTTGCGGCTGGCAGTTCATGCCGCGCGCCTTGCCATCCCCGAACGCGGTGCCCCTGGCGAGCCCGGCCACGTCCCCGCAGGCCAGCCGGGGCTTACGGTCGTGGAGTCAACGCAGGTGGGGTTGCTTTGGAGGGTGGCTCTGCAGAAGGCGGAGAAGTCGGACGCAGAGCTCTTTTTGACCACTCCCACCCCGGTCCTTACGGCGGGACCGAGCTGTGGCTCGAGAGTGGAACCAGGGACCCGAGCGGGCTTGGAGCCCTCGGGCGTTGGGGACACTAAGGATAAGATCCGTTTTCTCCCACCCACCCAACCCTTGGCGCCCACTCTCTTGGGGTTTCTCAGGGGCCATTCCTCGGAATTACCCACGGGATCCTGGAGCTCGCCCATGTGAGCGCACAGCTCCAGCAAGACCGCAAGCGCCCGAGTGCGCACCGCGCCAGAGAGCGCATCGGGTGTTCCGGTGTCTGACCATTCGATGGGGTAGACAATGCGGAGCTTCCCGCGGGATCGTAGTCCCCCCTCCGGTGGGGAATGCGAAGACCGTTAGTGCCCGAGTGCACGCCGAGCCCGAGAGCGCCGGAGGTTATGGGTTTCAGGGCTCCCCCTGGTTACCCTACCTGGGGTTACTTGTTAACGGCGGCCCGGGTGTGCACCGCAGAGTTTGGTGCCTGTCAAGAGGGACTGCTAGGACCCTCCAACGGGGGAGGTTCCCCAGGCCCCAGGGCTTCCCTACCCCCGTGCCTTGCTGAGGTACGAAGAAAAGAAGGAAGTGAGAAGGAAGTGAGGAGAAGGCGTCCCCCGAGGAGGCTCGCAGGGGATGTCAGCTCCTTGCCTGAAGGTAAGTAGGAAGGGGCTAGGTAGGGCCCGGTAAGTCCTGGCCCGCCTCCAGAGGAGGCTGGGCCGGGCGACCAGGCGCTCGCGACCAGCCGCCTTTCGAAAGAAAAGATAGTGCGCGTGCCGGGCGGATGGGTGGGGGCACGCGAACATGAAGGGTTGTTAGTATGTTTTAACGTAGCCACCCGCCTACTGCAATTCTTCAGCAGGCTGGATGCAAAACAACCGAACTCACCGTGGAGAGTTTGTATAAGGTCCAGCGGACGCCACCGCGGCAGTGGGCCCTCCCAGGGACAGTCCGGAGCCCAGCACGAAGCAAAGGCAAAGGCTGTCCATATTTGCAGGAATGTCGAATTTGTTGCATGGTGGGGCGTTCAAAGATCGGTGTAGCATGCAGTGCTCCACATGTATCGTCTTGGGTTCTTCGACCAAGCTTTTCACCACGAGCATTATGAGTGATTGATTACTGCATTGCCAGCGTCAGTGTCATCGTCCACATCGATACTGCTGTTGCCATGGGTCATCTTGCTCCAGGAGAGTCGGAAACTGCGGCCCTTCGAGGTCGAGGGGGGGGGGGGCACTTGTGTTGGGGAATCACAAGGAGTGGGATTCTGGGATGACTTCGGCTTGGGGTTGAAGGCTTAAAGTGATCCTCGTAGCATTCGGAGAGACAAGCCCTGACCTGCCCGCGGCTTCCACTCGTCAGGCCGCGCTTTTCGACAGGTGTGACGGAGGCAGTGGCTTCGAGTAGAGAGACTCAGTGAGATTCAGAGCTGCAGTTGAGGGCTTTGCCCTGTATTACTTGGCTGCATGTCCTGTCGCCCAGAGCAACCTATCTCTCAAGGCTCATTGGTCTGGGAAAGCAAGCCGTCGTTGTGGCACGGGGGCATGCGGGTTCCTATGTGAGATGTCTCATGTTCACAGATGGATCTAGGCTTGCTATGCTAGCATCGGCAAGAGTGCCTTCGCTTAAACTCGGTGCAGAGCCATGACGGCAGCTTCGGTGAATCGGTCTGCAGCGTGCCAGTCAGATGCAGTCCAGCTCGCATGCATCTTGGACCTCCTGACATAGGTTCTTGAATGTCTGTGATGTGCAGATCAAGACACGCACACGATCCCTGTACGGAAACATGCATCAAGCCAGCCAGGCAGGCAGGCCAGGCCAGACCCATCCATCCATCCATCCATCCTTCCGGCACTCCACCCCTGCCCGGTCCACCCACTCCCCTGGAGCACAGCTCTCACCCACCCGCCTGAACCAACCCTCAATTCCCTCGACAACACGCGCACCGAGATTGCGCAAGGCCCGACCGCTCTGAAGCACTCAGCACGCGAAGACGAGAGTAGACGCATGGTGCACAAGCACATACAGACTGCAGCCAAATCCAAGGCTTCCTGGAGAGCTTGAAGGCTGTTCTCGAGCAGGGTCAGGCTCGCCATGGCGGTGAGGTCACAGCGAGCAAGAAATGCAAGAATACAGCTAAGTCTTCGTGCCAAGGCAGCTTCATGTGCCTGGGTTGTGTGTGCACGATGAGTTCATGGGCCAAGACAAAGTTCAGGAAATCCATGCGCGGCTTGCGCGCCTGGATACCGTTAACGCCAGCACATCCGTGCCACAACATTTTAATTTGGCGGAAGATCAGCCAGAGTCTAAGCTTCTCTAGGGTGCTAGGGTGCTTGGGGTGTAAGGAAGGGCCGTAAGTGCCCTCTCTTCGTCTTGCAATGAGCTCAGGCCCAAGCAATGGGCGAAGGCGCCACCTCCCCCTTTCGTCGAGCCTCGGATCAGCCAAGCCGTCCTGCTGCGCACCGTAGAAACCCGGGTTGGCGACCAAGGAGTCTGCAGAGCCTGCACGGAAGCCGGTGTTGAAGGCGGCGCCACCAGGAGCGACAGAGCACCGGTTAGACGGGACATCCGGGGCTTGCGATAAAAGTTCGATGACTCTGGAGACAAGCTTGCCGATTGCGTCCCATACCTGACAGGACTGGCCCCGGCGACAACAACGGTGCAGGCCATTTTTTCACAGAGTGACGTACCGAGCTTGTGGTCGGGCCCTATGATTGCTCCTACCCATGTCCGCTTGGGCGTTGCCAGGTGAAGGCTCGTCCAACATCGCGGCTTGGCCAAACCAAAAAGCAAGAAACTGATTCGAAAAGAGGTGCTTACAAGACACTTCTGCTCTGACGCTGCATCTCAGGAAGGCGCCGCCATCGAAAGGCAAGGCACCGCCTCCGGGGTTCAGGAGCTCCAGAGAGTCTCGCAAGATCCAGCAGAAGGGAAGTTGCACTACCCAGTTACGATGCAGCAAACGGCAGAGACAACGGTTGCGAATGCTGTTGGTTGTGACGACGGCTTCGGCTATGTCGGTTCTCACTATCACTGCCGCTCTCCATCACTATCCTCTTTGGATATTCAGGACATAGCCTGCTAGAGGAACAAATAACTGTGGTATTGGCGAGTGATCGTATTGGTGACTAGCCGTAGCAGAAACAGCGAGAGTAGACCATCTCCGCAGCACCAGCAGTTGCCAAGGACCAATCCTGTAAGCGGACGAGACATACAAGAAGAGTTTGCAGTCGTCGCAGAAGTCGTGTTCGTGGTGGTGGAAGGTTGTGGAAGATGTAAAGGAGGACGGAGGAGGAGGAGGCGGAGGAGCAGTGGTCGTAGTCCTCAGTACTCTTACTTCGTTCGTCGCCCTCGCCACCCTTATCATATGGGCAGCTGTCTTCGTGCTGCTGGCCATGTTGAAGTAAGTTTTAGTGTTGTTGCTGTTGAAGATGATGATGATGATGATGATGACGATGACGGTGATGACGACGACGATGATGATGATGAAGACGATGGTGATGGTGACTAGTGGCTTTTGTCCTCGTCGTCGCTGTCTGTGTCACACTTGCCACAACAGTGCCGCCGCCCGCTCCAAGCTGCGTGCGTCAAAGCCAGGAGTGATGAGCCTGGAGCTGCGGAAACTCCAGGACTGCTGACCACTGGCCTGGCAGTGTGACTGCTGAACTTCGCCTTCGGACAGGGTCGTGTGATACGCTTAGGCGGGCAATCCTGGTGCTATCGCGTTGTGGAGTCGCAGTGGGGTGGCAGGACAAGCAAGAGCCGCGGAGCCGACACCGCAAGGCACCTTGCATGAGTTTGGGATCCTTGCGGGCACCTGAGCATGCTGTGAGCAGGAGGTAGTTCGCCAAAACATGATCTATGATCTAAGTGCAGCTCATCAGATTACGAGATGTCTTTGAAAGTGTGACTGGAGAGTTTCTTCCGGCATCATTAGCGGCAACCACCACCATGCATAGAGACTGCCCCCCTGCAGAAGCGCTTGGTCTACACCTTTTCGGTGCTGTGCCCGAAACGCCGGCATAGGAAAAAAAAACTCACAGGAGTCGGCTTACGAGCTCGGGCGGGGTTAAACTGCTGCCAGGCAATGGATTCAGAAGTTGAGTTGGCCCCTTTGTTTATCTCGTGTTAATGCGTTGTTTCCCCTGGGCATGGGCAAGGCCGTCTACAGAGTGGAGTTGCCCCAGTTTGCATTGCAGCCTGAAGACCGACACAGCTCCTGAGGTCCAGACTTCTCCTTGTGGCTGCCTTTGTGCTTTCTGAGTGATCGACTTAGGCAAAGCTCCACCACCGCATTTGCGCACGGAGGCAGCTTGCAGCTCTGGGTTTCTATCTGTACGGGGCAAAAGGGTCATGGATCGAGTTCATCCCGCCACAGATTCGCGACTTAGCCGCTACTTGCTGCTCGGGTCCGTCAGGAGAGGAATTCGAGCAGACCTGGCAACATCCGACAAGATGCCTAGCTAGCGCATAGCTCAGCTCTGTTCGTGGCAGGCAGCTTCTTCCGGCACTGAAGGCGGGCCGTCTGACATTCATTGCAACTGCTGCAACGAAAGAACCCTCTGATTGGATGCCCCAGCTGCGTCGTCAGCATCTCATGGGCCCTCATCTACTTAAGCTGTGCCTTTCACGGAGTGGTTTTGAGTGTGGAACTGTGGAACAGTGGAAGTCTGCTGCGCGCATGGCGGCCATGCACCGGGCAAATCCATGGAGCCCCGAAGCAAGAAAGAGCCTGAGGGCTCGCTGTGCAGGGTCTCCGACACATCGGCCCGAGCTTGCTCAGGCACGGAGTGCTCACAGATGGGACTCTAGGATGAAGGCTTTGTTTTCACCTTGAACTGTAACAGAGGGTTGCTTTACAAATCGGTCCTGAAGTTGATTTTGCACCCGCATCCGGCCGATGCAGCCGAACGTGCTGCAGACTGAGTCCCAGGATGCTTGATCTCGGAAGTGTGGCTCCCTGCGCAAGGCAAAGGCACCGCCGGCCCATCTCGATCCGCTGGCGAAGGCACTGCCTCCGAAGCAACAGGCCAACGTGAGAGTGGGGAGGCAAAGTAGCGATCTGCTGTTGCTGTCGTTCTGCCTGTCTGAACGTGTCTCGAGGCATAGTATGTGGCTTGCCTTGCTGTTGCTGCTTCACGACTTGCCTTGATATGCCCGACTGACTGACAGGAGCGGCAGCCCTCGTCACCCGACCGTGGAGGAGGCATGTGGCAAGTTCGAGCGATGTACCGTAATTCTATGGGCTACCTGATACTTCACATGCTCAACTCATACACCCAACCACAAACTAGATGTGCATGTCAGCTATCTTTCTGGGTCTCACGCTTCGACTTCTCCATGTCACAAGCAAGTCGTGAAGCCTCGGTATGGAAGTGAACCCAGATTCCGTGTGTGTGTAGATAGATATAGAGACATATAGCTAGCTTCACCCGAATAGAGGGTCCACACAGTCAGACTTTCCGCATCTTGTCACGTCCACCCAACCGGTATCTATGAAATATCCTGCGTAGCTGCGTGCCCATGATCCTCAAAACCCGAAGCTGGTACGAAGCACTTGTAAAACTCTCGACCATCCCTTCACACACCCTGAATTTTCATGCAATCCCTGCTTCCTCCAGTGTCGACAGCAGGCACTTCGCTGCCCAGCGCTCCTCCGCAAGCTTTCTCGAAGGCACCGCCACCACCTCTGGTGATAGAACCTCAGGAGCTTGCGGGCGGTGTTAGGGTTGAGTGACGCTTAAGCTTCAGTTTACCGTCTCGCCCCAACTAAATCAGCGAATGGCATACGGCATGCACCGTTGAGCCTCGAAGTTAAGCTACTCAAGCCTCCTGCCTCTTAAGCTCAGCTCAACCTCATGGGTGTCCCCGTTGTTGCTCTGTGTTTTCCCATCTGTTTGATAGCTCTTCTTCTGGAGTGCATGGAGGCCAGCTGGCAAGCACGCAAGCACGCAAGCACGCAAGCACGCAAGCACGCAAGCCAACATCACGTAGGGCAAGCTGTGTTGTCGCTCTGTAAATTATATCTAGTGGATGGCATTGTGCCCTTCCCTCCGTCCCTCCCTCCCTGCCTGACCGATGCAGCGTGTTGTTGTCGTTCCTTTCGAAATTGATGAGTTGGTGGCAGCATGTGGCAGCCAGCGATTGCCCGTCAATGTGCGGAAAAAGAACGCACTCGGGAGAAAGCACCAACAAGAGACAAGGAACCTCACAGACGCAGCTGGTGAAGGTTTGATAGCGACGGAAAGGGTTGTAATTCGGGACAAAAGTGTCAAGGTTTGAGGCTGCAAGCTGAACTGTTGCAGAATAGCAAGCCATTTAGAGTGTTGCCATACTTAGCCGTACTGTTCTGAAAGACTTGAGGAGGACACATCGCCGGAAGCAAGCCAT